TAAGGTGCATCTAAAAAAGTAAAAAAAATGTTTAAAATTTTAAAAATATTCACTAAAACAAAAAAAAAAACACAAAAATCAAAAAACTCAATTTAAAAAAAAAATTAATTCAAAAAACTCAAACCAAACTGATTTTTTGTTGAGCTAATCTCCCACTCTTATTTTAGGAGTTTCATTGAAGAGTTGTGATGATTTTGTTTTTAGCAGAGTAGGTGCATTATTAAAAGTTCTATTGGACAAGAATATGTATTAAAAAAAGATTATTTGTAAAATTTTATTAAAGGGTTGTTTGGGATGACCTAAATAAGTGTATTTTTTGTCTTTTTATGAAAAAATATGCAGAAAAATAGAGAGATAATATGATAAAAAAAATAAAAAATGTGTACTTATTTAAGATACTCAAACTTGACCTAAGTAAATGAAATGTTATATATGCCAGGAGGGTGGGGAAGGGGTTGGCGGGAGGGTGATGATAGGACTTGCAGTTGCAAGGTTGGTGAGAGAAAAGTTGTGAGGCAAAGAGTAAAAAGTAAGTAATTTTTTTTTAGCCTCTGATTGCTATTGTAATTTTGTTTTTCTTTTTAATTTTATACTTATTTTTAATTATTTTCCCTACTCGTTGTTTTTATTATAAATATTTCCCTTAAATTTTAGGCATTTTAATTTGCTTGTAGCTAGATGTAATACAAAAATAATACCTCGAAATCTCCTCATAAAATAAGTTTATGGCGTAGATTTAAAATATATACCAAGTCACAATTATAATAAATTTAATTCACACAATTTATAAATACTAAATAATTTTTTGAGTATGTTTTTTCTTCTTTCCAATGTAGAGTTTGCTGAGATGCAATATCTTTCTTCACCATTCAATAATTCATGGACCATGTGCTGGAAAATTAAGTGCAAGAATGGACCAGTGGCACAAACGGAGACTTATCAGTAGAGTCTGATTGTTTGGAAAATTAAGTGCAAGAATGGACCAGTGGCACAAACGGAGACTTATCAGTAGACTCAGATTGTTCGGGAGAAAAAGAAAAGGAAAAGTTTAAAAAGTTATTAGAAAAATCAAAAACTTAAAAGATTATTATAAAAAAAGAAATAAGCCACATACATCAAAGTTTCCCATTTTGTCATACAATTTAACAAAAATATATATGTATTTTCAAACACAAAGTTTTTTCGCTTCGTAAAAAAGTCAAACTCATTATTTCATAATCCCATTCACAATTTGTAGGCCATTTTGGCTTCGTTTGGGAAGCTATAGTTTGGGCTTTTTTGACTATTTTAGTCATAAAAAATAAAATAGGCTATTTTAGCCATAACAAATAAAACATCACATTCAACCCATAATCATTACATTCTTCTCTCACAAAAAAACTCAAAAAGTCAAAAAGCCCTTCCCAAATCAAACTTTTAAGCCCAGGCTAAAATAGCCAAAAAAGCTAAAAAGCCAACCCACTTCCCAAACGGAGGCTTTATTGTTGATACAGCTGCTTCAACTATTATTAAAAAAATTTATTACATATATATATATATCATATACAATGGCTTGTTCGGTTAAAAATAGATTTTTTTAGTTTTTTAATTTTTTTGACTCACATTACTTCTTTATTTTTTTACATATTTTAAAAAAAAAAACTAAAAAAATCAATTTTTAACTTTAAAAAATAAGCCAGTATAGGTAAAATTGTGCCCTTTAGTTAAAAGCCATAAAAAATTACCACATGTACTTCCTAAACAAGTTAATATGGTGCCAAGTGTCTTTGAAAAATTAGTGAATAATGTTATTTTTGTTTTTTCCACTTCCTCTTCCATTATGTTAAAACACCTTTACTTTTATTACCTTTTGTTTTCTCTTATTCCAAGTAATTCCGTTGCTTTGGTCTTCACAAGCAATGTTTTCAAAATTGGATGGGTAAGCAAATCGAAAAAAAAAATTAAATAGACGGGTCACCAATTCAACTGTTGAGTCAAAATGATCGAACCGTGACATCATAATTAATATTATATAATTAAAAAATATAATTATAAATTACAAATAAATAAAAATATATATAAATAATCAAATAAAAATAAAAATTGTTGCATAGTATTTATTAATAATATTTAATAAAGTCATAATTGATAAAAAAAAGTCACTTATTTTAAAGAAATTAAATTTTTTATACATTCCCTCCAAATAAATTGATTGAATGCTAGATTTAATTTTGGAGGGAAATGAAATTTTCAACTATCCCTCCAATCAATATGTTTCAAATAATTTGATTGAATCCCACATAGAATTTTGTAGGTTCTCTTTGAAATTTTTTTTTTTATAAATAGGATTAGACTTTCATAATCTTCTCAAACTTTCAATGAGACTCTTCCTTATGAGAGGAGACTCTTGAAATAAGAATTTTTAGTCAAAATTTTGAAATATATATATATATATATATATAAGAAAGAAAGAATAGAAATAAAAAAAATAAAAACCAGTCTGACCTTTCCGACCCGGCCCGGGTCACCGGTTTTACCGGTTCGACCACTGGATCACCGGGTTTTCCCCGTTTCGGCCCCACTTCGGGTTTAGAGGGGTTGACCAGACCAGAACAAGGCCCAGTTCCCGGTCCGACCGGCCGGTCCTGTCCGAGTTTGAAAACAATGTTCACAAGTACAATATTTGTATCCATGTTTCTGATCCTAAAAAATCTCTCATTCTCTATGTTCCTCTCCTATGGTAATGCTTTGTCTATATTTTTTTCTCCACTGGTACCATTTCTCTGTTATTTGTCTAGAACTATTTTTTTTCCTCGAACATTACACAAGATCCAACCCTTTTCTTTGTTTGGGTTTTTAGTAAATTTGACATACTATCTATAAATTTCTAAACTAAAAATTGATGACTGATGTGATGAATTGGTAGTCGCCAATTGCATTTCAGAAGCACCAAAAAAAAAAAAAAACAAAAGATAGTTGCCAATTGATTTTGTGAATTTGGGCATTGTGGCATGCCATTCATGACTTTTTACACTCATGTTTTCTGTTTTGAATATTGTAGTTCTATAGAATTTTGATTTCTTAGTCACAATAATAGATGAAAAATTCAGTGAAAATGATATGCAACCTGCAAATTTGGATTAATTGAAAATCATAAGCCTCCGTTTGAAAAGTGAGTTAGTTTTTTAACTTTTTAACTTTTTTAGCTATTTTAGTTTGGGATTTTTTTAACTTTTTTAACTTTTTTTATAAGATGGGTTAAATGTAATATTTTATTTTTTGTGATTAAAATAATCTATTTTATTTTTTATGACTAAAATAGTCACTTTAACCCTTCCCAAACAATGCCTTAGATTGTTTATAGATATGACATAAAAATTGCTTCTTTTGGGTTTTTATTTTTTATTTCGTATTATTTTGATTCTTTATTTTTGTTTATTGAGAACAAGCCTAAATTGATTAGTCAAATGTTCACGCAGAACGATGTTGATATTGATGTTGAGATCTAATAATATATTTTTATTTGGGTTGATTGAAAATCGTAAGATTGTTTAATACATATGACATAAAAAACGCTTCTTTTGGGTTTATTTATTTATTTATTATTTTATGTTATTTTGATTCTTTATTTTTATTCACTGAGAACAATCTCAATTTGAATAGTCAAACGTTCACGCAAAATGATAGTGGGATCTAATAATATATTTTTGGGAGTGTTTAATATACTCCTCTCTCAATTATGGATATTTGTCAATTCATTTCGAAATTAGAAGCTTCACTTTTCTTCTATGTAAAATATTGCATACAAAATAATTTTTTTTTTTTTACTTCTATATGTTTACTGTATGAAAACCTACAACAGTTTTACATTTTTTGCGGGAATATATTTAAGTATTCATACTATATTTATGTAAAATTGATTTTCAAACATAATCCTATGCATAGCAGGCGTAGAAAACTAATATATATTTATATATATGGATCAATATTTACAAACAGTGTGTTTAGTTTGAATTTTTTGAATTAAATTTTTTAAAAACTCAATTTTTTAGTTTTCGTGTTTTTTTATTTTTAGTGAATATTTTTAAAATTTTAAACATTTTTTATATTTTTTTAGATCCGCCTTACTTAGATGTATTTAAAAAATAAAAAAAAAAAAAAAAAAAAATTATTTTTGTCTCCCAATCATGTACTTCTACCTCACTGGGGTCGACCCCCAGTGGGGGTATAAATCATTTTTCTTAATACATATGACATAAAAAACGCTTCTTTTGGGTTTATTTATTTATTTATTATTTTGTGTTATTTTGATTCTTTATTTTTACTCGCTGAGAACAATCTCAATTTGATTAGTCAAATGTTCACGCAAAATGATATTTGGGATCTAGTAATATATTTTTGGGAGTGTTTAATATACTCCCCTCTCAATTATGGATATTTGTCAATTCATTTCGAAATTAGAAGCTTCACTTTTCTTCTATGTAAAATATTGCACACAAAATAATTTTTTTTTTTTTACTTCTATACTTTTACTGTATGAAAACCTACAACAGTTTTACATTTTTTGCGTGAATATATTTAAGTATTCATACTATATTTTCTTTCATAAAATACATGTGGTTAGTTATACACGTCACGTGTAGTGTTGGATATGAATCGGCATCGATTGTTGTATAATACTATTCGGCTTGTTTGGTTGTGTTTTTTTAAAAATATTTTTAAAAAAACACAACCAAACAAGCCGAATAGTATTATACAACAATCGATGCCGATTCATATCCAACACTACACGTGACGTGTATAACTAACCACATGTATTTTATGAAAGAATTACCAACACCCCTTTTAAAGTCCATGATGGTTCTCAAAAACAAAAAAAAGAAAAAAAAGAGGGTTGATGAGACTATGACACCCAACCTACCATTCTCAATTGAGGATAAGGATGTGCAGATATTTTTCTTCCACCTGGAAAAAGTCCAATCCAAAATATCTACTCCTTTGTATTATATAGCCCTTAGTTTTCAATTCTCATTTGCAATTGATAGCAACAAAAAGGGATAATCAAGCAAAGAAAAGACGAGAAGAGACGAACAGAGAAAGAGAAATGGAGTGTTGTGGGAGGCCAAACCGCAGTGATATTCACTTGTCTAAGGAAGAAGAGGCAAAGATGGAGGAAGAGACTAGAGAGTACTTTGATGGCTTAGCGCCGAAACGTCACGCTAAGCCTCAGCGCAGCGACTACTCTTCTCAGTATGTCGATATTCTTTCCAATTGTCACGACAACGGTGTCATTCCAGAACAACTTGTGTTTCAGCAGCTTCAACATCATGATTCTCAGGTATCTCTTCTTTTTTTTTTTTACCTTCACGATTTATGCAGCAGATATATGCAATAAGCATAATAATGTGTGTAGAATTCACCGTTTTCCAATTTTGAAAGTCATCTATATAGCATTTTTTGCATTCTCAATTGTATCATTATCCAATGTTCAAAACAAATTGGAGAGATTCCTACGTTTTGCGATTATTGTCGCTGCCAAGGACATTGGGCCTAGGGCATTCGGGTCAAATGATGACCTTAGCACGGTTTTGCGATTATTGCCGCTGCCAAGGCCATTAGGTATGGGGCATTCGGGTCAAATATGGGGGATGGGGACTGTCATCAAATCCTTCTGTCCTCTAATTTCAAATATGTGTGAGTTTGAAGGTGTGATTCAATAGTTGGCCGTGCATTGGGACAGGGAATATGGAGATATGGGGACATATGATCTCGTCTAGGAATTTTTTAGTATAGAGAATCCTAGCCATTTTACCTCACATCAAGTGTAGAAATAAACAATAATTAGTTATTTCATTGTAAAATAATGACTCAACTGCATATAATCTTTGTCTAATTTCTTCTGTATCCCTTCCCCTTGTCTCTCTGTTGCAGAAACTGGTTTACAATGGAAGCCAAGTGAGGGAAGAATTTGTGGAAACAGAATACTACAGAGATCTCAATGGCATTGACAAACAACACCACACTGTAATTTCCCACTCCAGAAACTTTCCTTTTCAAAGATTTACTAGTTACTTGGTGTAATTCAACCTAGACACATTAAAATTGATCTTGGAATTATGGAGAAAAGGAAAAGGAATATGTTAAAATGATACTTCCTACTATGACTTCCATGGATCATCATGCCCTGAGAGGCATGTCGATGGTAGAGTCCGACTGCTGACCTCTGCTCTGCTTGATGCTATCAGCGCTAATACCTGTTAGTGAAAAATTCAGTCAGTTTTTGGTTTGATTACTCAATAGTGATAACATTTTGTTGATAGTTATGCATATCTAACACCCCCAACTCACACCAACACCAGACCCAAATGTATACTCATCAGATACAAATAGAAAATTACTGCTACATGTTTAAAATAAATAAATAATTAAATTCAAATTTTCTTTTCATGCTATGATTGATTAACATTTGAGTTCTATTACAGACGGGCACAGGGTTCATAACAGTGGAGAATGCAAATGGCATGAACTTCAACCTAGCATCTGATACTGCTACCGATTGTCATGCCTCTTGCAAGGCAAACCCAGCAACTAATGACTGGATTCCAGCTGCAAATGATACGGTAAAACCAGAAACACTCAATTTATTAGGCACTTAACCTTTAATCCTTTCAAGCAAAGAGTTCCAAACAGGTCTGACTGACTCAGTACATCTTATGCTTTTGTTTCAGGCGGCTTTCGTCTCTGACAAGCCAAAAAGGAGTGACAATTGATACATGAGGGTGGATATGCTGTTATCTAAAAACTAGCAGATGTATTGTTCATTTTCTATGCCCTTTCTGTGGGCTTTATGTGGGATCTGTGTTTTTCCCACGGAGTATGGTTGTGTTTTAAGATGTTTTTGTTCATTTAAATGAAACTTCTGGCTCCAATTTTTTTTCTATTTAGTGTTCACTTTTCTAGTTTAGGGATGAACCTAGTTTAGAGATTAATAAAGCTATCATTAAATGGTGTTCCATAAGGTAGCTGACACACAAGTAGATATGATGTCTCAAATGGAAAACAAGTTTCCAAGAAACCTTACATATGCAGCTGAGACAAACTTATGAAGCATATGCATTCCAAAAAAACTTTACATATGTAGCTGAGACAAAAGGTCTGTTTGGTGCAATTTTTCTAAAGTCGAAAGTTGATAATCAAAAAACAGGAAGTTAAAAGCAACCTTTCATCAGCTTTCAGATAATCAATTTGTTTCCTAGTTTATTTAAGCTATTCCTATAAGTAGAAATCGCAAGAAATACTCAGACTCCCAAAATAAAATAAAAAAAGGTCTAAGCTGTCTCTGGAAGCTGCACCAAACAGCCCCAAACTTATGAGCCAGCATTCCAAAAAAGCTTACATATGCATCTGACACAAACTTATGAACCATATGCATTTGTGCCCAGTTTGCATTCAGGGGATGGCTACTAGTTGAGCACCTTTGCTCTCAAACTCATAACATGCACGACCAAATGATGTAGATGTAACAATTTTGAAATTATTAGGGAACTTCACCTCCCTCATTGAAAGTGTGTGCAAAACATTTTCCTTACATAATAAAAATAAAAATAAAAATAAAAATTAGTAGGTGAATTTAAAAGTGGGGGCACCAATTTACTTTGCACTGGGATCACGAGAAAATCCACTACTCACCTTGTTTTGGAATTGCAAGTAATCTGATTTTGCAGGTATAGCTTATCAATTGGATCTACTCATCTTGTTTATGAATTACTGCAGTTACCTGAAAGAAAAGCAGTCAGGCAGAGGCAGTTAGCTTGAATTTGATTCACGAGTTAAATAGGTCCTTTAGGGCCCTACATAATACAATTGTATCCGATGAACCAAATTTTGTAAACGTAAATATTTATGAGTTCTGTGTTGCAGAAATATTTTGCCTTTGGTGTCGGTTGCAATTCGAATTGTTGATGTATTCTGTTAGTTTGAAGTCATTGTAACAGAATTTCCTCTCACTAAACTGAGATCAAAACAAAGAGAGAGACTATGGAATGAAGTCCTTGCTTAAGAGGTAGTGCTATGTTTGCCAACTACATGCAGCAAAAGAAAATAATAACAACAACAATAATAAATGAAGCAAAAGGTGCAAAATTGACAAGTAATTACTTAATAAAATCAATATCAAATACCATAAGAACTCACACAAGCACACAAACCTCTGAAACTCTTGAAATCATTAATTGTACAATGGCATGGCAAACTATGAATAGACTAAACCACACACCAATCGGGACAGTTACACCAATATCAGCAACAACGTTACATCCACGTCTCACAGCATGAGTGCCACCTTAATGTAGCTCAAAACATTAAGGATATGATCTGAGGGTAGTGAAAAATATAGTCATACTACGTAAGAAAGACATCACCTGAGGTGCCTGGCATGCACAAGCCTTCCATTTAATCTTGCAACTGCTTACTCCTCTTTCTTCAATCACTGTTTCATTATTGGAGATCACAAAGTAAGAAGTATAATGGCAGTCATAAATTATCCTACTAGATGGGAGCAATCGAGCAATGTTCAAACATTTCTCTATCATTATTGTAGAAGAAGAGAGGAGGGAGTAAAATCTCACAATTGAACCTATGGCTCCTCCAACAACAGTTGTATTGGATGGATTTTGCAACAGACATTAATGGTTATTTAGGACATGCTCATTGTAGCACAGTTGACGAATCCCCAGCATAATGATGTTTCTTCCGTTGTGCGTAAACAAGTGATCAACATAGAGCAACAAGATGATTCTCCTCTGTTTAAGACCGCAAGAGGTGAACAAGCAAAAGATTAGGCACTAGACTTCCAGTTGTCCACATTGTGCAAATGCAGCACCATCAATGATGTGCCCTTGAATTGGAGTTGAAGCAAATTCCCTCAAAGTTGACATTAGCTTCATCAACAAGTACCACTTATGCTCACATCAAAAACTCTCTGTCCTCCAAGCAACACTGGTGATATAATTGCTCAAGGAAATAAACTCTTCAGTTTACGCAAAACTGAAAATAACAAATATTGCACATAATGAGGAGCATGTACAGATTCATTGTGGGTGATTATGCAGTACTAGAAGAGTTAATCACAAGTGATCAAGAACAACAGACAGAGCAATAATCTACCAGATTCTGAAGATGGAAGCAGGAGTATTCCAGGAAGCACTAGATTTCCCTCAAAAGCCTCATCATCAATTTGCAAGTCCTTGGTTGTTAAACTCAGTGTCTTTTGCATTAAGAGATTACAGCATAGGCAGTCATGTCTTCATTTAGGCCTTCCTTTCATCCATGTGGTACCTTTATATGGGAAAAGTCATTGGAGTAGTTAGCAACTATCTACAAATTCAAAATAACTCATATATCATACGGACAAGAAAAAAACAAAAAAGGATTTAGATTCTGTAGTCATATGCCAACAGATCTTGTACACTTCTAAACACGTTCTTGAATTAAAAAACAGTCAAGTGTCTTTAACCAAATTTCTCATATGAACAATGGTAATAAGCAAGAGTTACTTAATTCTCCTATTAATAATAAATGCCTAAACTTATCCAATTCTGTCAAAGATAAGCCTTAATGTAATAATTACGGTAACTAATGAAGCAACAAAGATAGATGAGTAGTAATAAATGAAAAAATCGAATACAAACCAGTGTATTCTTAGGAACTAACAAATAGATACAATAGTCCATTGTTCCTACATTTTGAAATTTCAATGAAACATTTAAGATATTTATTAAAACATTATTAATCTAAAAGAAGGAGAAAAAAAACAACAAACGAACCCTTAATATCATTCAACATATCTAGAAGTACATATATTATATTAAAAAAACTTAGTTCTATAGTAATTCTACTTATAGCAAGGTTCAAGAAAAACTTCTTTCTATCTTGTAAGATTGACTTATTTCCATGTCTTTTCCCCTTTTTTTAAGGTCATTCAAGAGTTAAGACACACTATAAGGACGAAAAAAATGGGAAGTGAGTATATGTTTTTACGTTCGTGTGTATCCAACTTGTGTCCATTTTGAATTTCAAAACCTATATTCATTTTCTATGAACCATATTTTCGAAAGTAAATTTTTTTTCCCTGATAATTGTGGTGCATGTCATGGTATGCCAAATATATAGGTATTTTAAAAGAGAGTTCAGCACAAGCACTACTTTCCCTATGGAAATTGATTGCTAACTAGTAGAAGGGCACATCACACTTTAAAACATAAAACAAATAATAAAGAAGATGATGATTTGGGGAGGAGAAGAAATCTGATAAAAAACCAAACTTAAGGATTCATTTCAACAATGATTAAAGCTTATGCAGTTGCCGAGGTTAAATATAGTCCAATGTGAGATGTTTAAGTACAAGGAAGTACCTATCTTGAAAAAGAAGCGCGCGCACGCACACACATACAAATGCAATCTAAGTTTTGACATGCCTAAAAATGTCTCCAATAAAGAAAAGGAAAAAAATAATAATTAATAAGCTTACTAGTTTGGACATTATTGAAGTAAATATGATATCTATCAAGTGTGATATATGGAATATATGACAAAGATAGGGTTTTGGAGTGTTGATGTTGATCTTTCATATCATAAAGGCAGGCCTGAGTCAGTCATCTTGTTGGTTTGAGTTGAATTATCCAATTATGTCTATTTCTAAATCCTAAAAGGAATATAGGAATCTAAGATAAAAAGCAAATTTGGCCAACCTAGTATAAGAAGACAAATTTAGGCAAGAGCAAAGAGATTAAACTCAATTTCCTTTCCAGTCAAAGCAAATAATTGCTTTATTCTTTATGGTTCAAGCAATATGGATTACTAACTTATCAGAGAAAAAGGTGGGATAATAACGTTAGGTTTCAAACATGGGTTTCAATCACATTTTTTCCACAGCTGATCGCAAGTATTGATGTACTTGACCAATGCTAAGATGATGTAACAATGTGTAATATACAAATTAGCATTGACTACATTCCTATTACTAATTGGATTTAGAGAGAATTTTGCCATTTTAGATTTTTGGTCCTAGTCTGGGTCTTTTAGATAACAAGGTAATTGTCTTTCCTTTCTAGGGTTTACGTACAATACCTTTTCTTAGCTTCTCCGAAGCAAAGGAACACTTGTGCTATTTTGTTAACATCTAAATGTGGGAAATGCCACACTAAAAGTAATATCATTTGCTCTAAGGGAGATACTTCGTTTGGGAACATGCTATTTTAGTAACTTTTTGACTTTTTGGCTAAAATATGAGATAAAAAAAACTAATATGTTGGGATGACTCTTTGATTTTTTACGAAAAGATGTGCAAAAAGTAGAGAAAAAAGGGAATCTTTGACTTTTTTTGTATAGGTTATAGACTTTTCGATTTTTTTAATAACCTCTAGGCTTTTACGCTAAAACAGACACATGTCAAACGAGGCCTTAACCTTTGTTCCTAATAATAATTTGTGTTAGTCGCCAAGAAAGTCTTTCCACATTATTCTAAGTTGCTTAGGCTTCATTATTGCAAGAGTCTACTATATTTCTTGTTTCTATTTGCCTCATTCATCTTTCGCTAAAAACCAAATGATCAGTGAGCTATTTCTACACTTGTCTAGTGTGGATGATTTTAGGCAAACGTTCTAGTTGCCACCAAACCCTACCTAAATGATTGATATGTCACTAAAGGTGTTAGTTGGCAATCCAAGTTATCGGCTTTTGACTATGAAGCTTGTCACCATCAGCTAACGGGTTGACCCAGACTTCATTATTTTGAAGTGATTCAATATTCGAAGTTTTGCCTAAATTGTGTTCATGTTGAAAATAATGCTTACCCTAGATGTATAGTCTATTATTGCACAATAATGCACTCCAAATAAAACTAGCAGGCATCGATCTGGAGTGGCTTCTAACCCGCTCTCATCCACTGATTCTTCAACATCAATTGGTTTGGCTAGTTATGGATATATTATCCCAATTAAAGTCGTCGCTAACCAATGGCCAGGGATGGAACCAAGATTTCTTCTTCGGATGGGCCAAAACTTTAATATCAAGATTTCATTTACTAACATTTTTTTCTTCTTTTGAAAAATCTATCAACTGTATGATGCTTTTCCACTTGAGCACTATACAACTAAAAAAATAATAATATAGTCACACATACAACCTAAAAAGCATGGACATAGACACAAACACAAACATGAGTATGGACACATGAACACAGCAATTTTCAGAAAATTAGGATAAAGGCAGTAACATGGGAAAAAAATACGTTTTTATATATCATTATTTACTATGGATACGAATATGAATATAAATTTAGGGGGCAAACTACTCCGGTAGTCCTTACATTTTGCTCCGTTTCATTTTGGTCCCCACAATTTCAATTGGCTCAATTTTAACCCTTAATTTTAGATTTTGTATCAATTTGATCCAATTGATAACATTGTTAGGGGTTTTGATAAAAATGATCACTAAGTGGGTTGATGTTAACTCATTGAGTCTATCAAATTTATAATTTTTCCCCCAAAAGCATGACACATGTTGCCAGTGCGCATTTTCAATTAAAAAAAAAAATGCTAACAATAGTAATCAATTGGACCAAATTGAGACAAAGTCACAAATTCAAGATTAAAATCGAGCCAATTGAAATTACAGAGACTAAAATGGCACAATAACCAAAGTATAGGGACTATCAATGTAATTTGCCATAAATTTAGGATACATAGATATCATCAATATATATGTGGGTATATTCCCCCCCCCCCTACTTTTTCCCTCTTTATTCCCATATATTTTATTTACTCCAAAATAAGCTTCCATCATTATTAAAACAAAACAAAAAAAAAAAGGGGTCTTGAGGCATGTTCAAACATAGGACACGTGCGTCCATGAAGTATCCCTAACGTGTCCTTTAAAAAAATAATTAAAAAAAACTGTGGACACGTGTGTCCTCGTTGTGTAAGACATGTACACGGCACCCACCTTGGAGTGTTGCTGCTTTTAGCTTATAACATGTTCAATAGTAATACTAATTTTAAATAAGAGATAACAATTGACAATAACCATCACTGTAACATTATCTGAGACACAACGCTAAGATTTTAAATTGAATATCATACTACGCTTGACGGTATGAGAAGTGAAAAGTAACCATATATGATATAGAAATTATAAATAAAGAGAGAAGTATGAGAAATGATAAACAATAATATATGATATCTAAAGAGAGACTAGAAAATTGAACAGGTCTTTGGACTGAGCAGAGGGGCCATGGCCCCCATGGTCTGTGTGTAGGTCCATCCCTGCCAGTGCCAACTGCAACTTCTATATACCATTTCAATAGGCCCCTTGACCACTTAATCCTTGTTTTAGATAAATTCACTTCTTGTCTTTACGGTTTTCAAAAGTTATGTTTACTATTCATTACAATTATTAGGTCTTAACCAAAAAACCATTCAACACGACATACATAACTTAACAAAAGGACTCACCACACCCCACTCTGTGCGACAGAAACAGAAGAGCATTGTTTATCAAAGACTAATGAACTGCTTGTCCATACACAACACAAACGAAATATATCATTTCCATGGATTCATGTCTTGACTGGCTGACGAAAATCTTTCCCTATTAGGAGGGATTTTTCAAAGGTGAATAATCTTGTCCTGCGAACAAAACTATTCTATTGTTCGCTATAGGATTCCACAAATGGTTGGTCTGCGAGCAAACATTTTCACGATTAGACCTCAACAAAGAATTAGAAGTTTGTATAAGTCTAAAAGTAGGTTTTCTAAATAGAAAACCTAAAAGAAACATATATTTCAAATGGCAACATAAATTCATCCCAAATACAATAAGGTTAATTATCGAAGACATAAATAAAATATCACAAGTTCTAAGAAATGTTATTTGCAAAAGATTAGGTTATGATTAATCTCGTAAATTTTACGAAACTCTTTAGGCGAATTGATTATCATAGTGTAGTTATTAAAGCTTATGATAAATTATGTTTACATAAAAGTAAGATGAATATGTATTTTTAATAGTTTGAACTTTGCCTACCACAAATATATAAAAATACAAGAAAAAAACATATGTTAAGACTCACTTTTCTTAGATACCTAAAGGCACATGGAGGATTTTTCTATTCAAAACAATAGATTAAAACTTGAAAACTAAAATCTAAAGAGATACCAACGCATTAAATATAACATACTAGTGGTTACAAAACATATGTACATCTACAAAGATAGGAAACCATATAATTTTAGATATGAGATTTGAAAACGTTAGATTTTTTGTGCACATTTCGATCACTACTCCTCATTGAGATGTCAATTTAAAATATATATATATATATATATACGTTTCATTACTTCATGTTCAACGACAAATGTAAAAGGAATGTGTTTTACTTCTTACATAAATGGATATTGCATAATACAACTCATTACTCAATGTAAGGCATATGTTATTTTTTTCAAGGAATAAGATGTTTCTAATGATATATAGAGAAATAAAAGTATTATACTCAAACTAACAATTGCATCCTAGGAGAAGATTACTTTATATTTTGTAAAACACACACACACACACACACACACAGCTTTTAGGTACATTCTTTGGTCACAAAGCATAAGAATCAAAGTCGAAAGCATCCGAAAATTACACGAAATCAATGAACCCCCAAAATAGCATGGCCATTAGCCAATAAAAAGAAAAAAGCAAATATATATTGAAGCTATTTGAGTTATGCATATTATGTTCAGATTAAAATTTACTTCCCATGATATAGGGAAACCAATGAAAAAATACATATTATAGAAAAGAAGAAAAATATTTTGAAGAGAAAAAAAAAGGAAAGAAATTTAGTGAACTTCGATGCTAAGAATTTTTTTAATGAAACGTGGTGCAAGAAACACAAATGTAATGAACAATGTTTACTGTAGTATCATAAGTGTTTGAAGTCCAGGCACTATCTTTTTTAAAGTATGAAATGAAGTATTGCATCAAAAGTGTTCAGAAAATTTACCAATTGAACTATTGGTGTCGGTGGTTGTATGATTTGTTCGCGAATTGCTAGAAGAAGTCTTTCCCTCATCTTTATTGCCATCAACATGAAAAGAAGATAATTTGAGAGTACCATTGAAGGACTTGCAAATTGGTGACGAGGTTTCTGAACGATAATCAGCACCTCCTGGCACACCATTACTTCCATCTTCAGAGCATGTGGAATGCTTTCTTTTTCTTCCACTCTGATCAAAAGGAATTACACAACATGGGAACATGTTATTGTCACCACATATGCACCTTTACCACTTGTGCAAACTCCACTGTTGCTTTTATTCAAAGCAACCAAGATGAAACCAACAGAAACCAAAAGAAAATGGAAACCAATAGAATATGAATAATTCAAGGAGATTTGGAGGAATAGGATAGTATTCAAGACTCCTAAACAAGAAAAGGAAATTTCTCATGGTCATCTGCTTGATTGACAAGTAGGCATGTTATTTGATAAAGGCACGTAAAGGTCTCTTTTAAAAATCAAGAATATCTTATAATGCTAAGAGAATGCTCTTTCAGAATTCCCAAAAAAATTTATTGCCATGAAAATCCATTTCATCATTCTTTAAATAAGGAAATAAGATAAGTAGAACAACCAATATCTTGTAACACAAAGCAATTATGATAATACCTCATTAGGTGCAATCTTTTCTGTTTTAAGTGTGGCACAAATTGAAGGACCAACTCCTTGAGTAGATATATTACCAAGGTTGCTTGGATGATAGAATCCCTTTGAAAGTGTTGATGATTTTTGTTGAGGTTCAAATGATGCCAAACCTTGAAAATTTTGCTCAGTTTTCTAGAACATGATATATTAGGATTTAGGTTAAAAGCGTCATATTCAAGTCCAAGAAAAGAGATATACTTGAATAACAGTTTTTGCTTACCATTGAATGGCATCCCATGAACGGCATTAGGTTTCCCCCTGTAGACAACCCTGCAAAGACAAACACTAGAATGGTAACTTATACAAAAAAAGCCAAAAAAATAAAATAAAAATAGATGTATAAAAAGAAAGCAATAATACAATTACACATTGTTTTACTTTTGTGGCATCATTATAATAATGAAATGCAACTAGAAGGTAGATGATTTATCTATTAAGAAGCATAGATTCCATCTGAAGTTCAACTAAGATAAAACAGAGCTTCATGTTTCTTTAATTATCTCAAATGAAAGAATTGAGTAATTTGACTACACAACCTCCCTTCCCTTCTTCTCCTATCTTATTCATAGACGTTACAGATCTACTTTACATATCACAACCACTAATCTATCCACTGATTTAACTACTACAACCACTTTAAGCACATTGGTTGTTATCCTTCCAGCTCATCATTGACTCTCGTTAGCAGCACTTGTAAGCTCATCCACACTCCATTTACATTCGTATCACATACGTAAAGAAAAAATCACCACTAAAAGCTACTACTATGTTGACCAATAGTACACAATTTGTAAATATCAACTTTTTTTTGCTTCAGGGCTCTTTTCTTCTTTAGATAAGAAAATGAGGGGCAATACATTAGTATCACAAGCAAAGTAGGAACCAAAGCCTCAATTACATAGAATCCTTTGTATTTTTACTCGTGGCACATCAAAAAATTCTACCTGGCTTTGTGCAATTAGTTAAATATATTATTCTTGCTTTAAGGTCCAAAATTGCATGAGAATCACCAACCACTACAATGTTAGCTAAGGTTGAGTTGACAATTCAAGCATTAGAATTTTGCAATAAAGATTTGTCTATGGTCTGGACAACATCCCATATTCCACATTGATTGTTGAGAACTGGAAAATTCCTCACTTATCCATTGATATTGTCCCCTTCGAACCACGGAAAAATTATCAGCTATCATATTGAGTTAAATACATAAACGTGTATACATTCTATAAGTAAGACATACACACTACAGGCTTGGTGGAAACAATTGGCTGCTAATATTTAAATGAATTTATCAGCCACCTGACAATCCATAACTCATTCATCCAAGTTATCATCATCACTAATGCGGTTTAGAAAGATTGACCAAGCAAGCAATGAGTCAACAGTTAAAAATACTACCAAATTTATGACCACATCTCAAACTGCCGTAATAAAATTTTTAAGAATTTTTTAGGCATTGTACCAAAATCACTACTAGCAGTCAGCTCCCTGATCGGTTGCTTGTCCACCTCTTGCTCTCTCAATGGAGAAGGATCACCTTGTTGCCCCACGTAAGTCACTTTTTCAACCTAAAAATAGAGCATAATAACGGGATTAGTGTGATTGAGAAAACAACATCAATAAGCATTTATAATGGCCAACAGTAACAAAGAAACTGATTTAGAAATCACCGCATATGAGGAACCCTCTTTATTGACTGGATTCTTTGCTTGCGATGCTTTAAACATGTCATAAAATGTCAACCACCATTCATGTAGAAAACCATCAGGAACATCAAGTGCTGGAAAAATTAGGGGGAAAGAAAATAAATGAAACCTCTTAGTAAAAGCCACAATCCTTTAGACCAATCAACATGTAATAAAATCCACAATAAAAAAAATTAAGGAATAAAAGATCTAGCTCGTTGATTTAATCAAAAATATCAATTCTCTTTATATCTCGTTTGATATCAACTTCTGATTTTTCTTAATTTACACTACTTATGATCCAGTCTTCCACTAATCATGATTAGATAAAAATACAAAAAAAAAATAAATTCAGGTGTTAGGCATACATACAAACGGACATAAATAAATATATAAATCCTTGCATGTTGATTAAAAACTGAGAACGCCACGAATTAAATTAAGGGAAAATTATACCCAGAGTCCCTACAATCTGTCCTGTGTCAATTTGATCTCTTTAGTTCTAATAGCATCAATTTTATCCCTTAATGTCAATTATTAAGAAATTGGACAGAAATCAATGGCAAAATAATCTATTTAAAAGGGAATTGACCATTTCAAATTGGATGCCAACCCCTCAATCTCTTTGGAGAGTGCACGGACTACTTTGCCCTTTAATTTCGGTCCAATTTAATTTCTAAAAGACTGTTATCAATTGGACTAGAGGATAAAAGTGATGCAACCAGAATTTCAAAAACCAAATTGACACAAGGTAAACTATAGGGACTATGTGTAATTTGCTTAAATTAAATATTAAAGATGCACCCCAAACTCATATCTATACTCACCACTCCTGCATGACAATTTTTAGGTTACAAGCAGAGCAATCAATGTGATAAACCCTTAAACTAAATCAAAAGAAATCAGAACCACCCCAAATTTTGATTGATCATGATTCATGAAATCTCAAGTCCACTAAAAAAAAGATTTTTTTTTTAATTTTTTTTTTAATTTTAGGAAATGAGTATTTGTAAAGATTACCTGGACGAGATGAAGGATCGAAGGAGAGATTAGCCTCATGCCAGAAGAGCTCTGCAGTTTCATGCAAGCCTCTTTTCTGTAAATAATCAAATAGATACCGCTCAAACCTGCAAAAAAAAAAAAACGAACCCAAATTTAACAATAAAAAAACAGAGATATAGAGAAAGGGGGGAAAAAAAATCAACAAAAAGAGCAAAATTGGTGAAACCCACGTGGCTCGATTGTTCCATTCTGTAGGATTGGCCATGGCTGGTTATCTCGAACTCTATAAGTTGCAGAGATCTTGTGGAGAGAGACCAGAGATGAGAGACCCAGAGAAGAGTGAATTTTATGGGTAAAAACAGAGAGAGGGCATTTAAGGAGAGGAGAGAGGGCCATTAAATGGTATTTGCAAAATGGAAGTGAAGTGAATGCTCTTTGTTTTGTTGGGGTGTCTCTGGCTGGGCTCTCTTTATCTAAGCAAGGTTGACAACACTAAATGCAGTCTCCACCATTTCAAAATTCGTAACCGCTACAGAGATTCGGTTCGTGTGCAACCGGTACGGCAACAGCCACGGAGGAATCGAATAGGGGAGCTCAGGACACACCAACAATTGTTCAAAATACCCAAAATACCCTCATCTTCCCAAATCTCCAACCATAACCCTAACTACCACCACCGGCGGCTGCCACCCCTTCCCAGCCTCCTTCTTCTTCTTCTTCTTCTCTCTCGCTCGCTCGCAATCGCGATTGTGTCACAATCTTCACTCTTGCGTCGCGCGATGACGGCGTTGTGATTGGGCTGGAAAGGGGAAGGGACGGTGGTTGTTGCAGAGGTAGGGGAGGGTGGGTGAGGGGTGAGGAGGTGGTGGTGGTGGTGGTGGCTGCGGCGGCGACGGTGGCGAGGAGGGTCGTGGTGGATGACGACCGGAGTTGGGGAGCAGCCGGAGAAGGAGCAACAACGGTGACTCGTGTGTTAATTGGAATTTTGTCCAAAATAATAATTTTACAGAGGGACATTAATGTAATGAAAAAAAAAAATAAAAAATGATGTGTACTGAGTTTTTCTTTTTATTTTATTTTATTTTTCAAAGAGTCGTCGAGGTGAGTTATAAGACTTTGTTTGTCATAATTAAGAAAAAAAAAATTAAAAAGTCACTATTTTATTTAAGTTAGATCATCTTATTTAAATCATATCACTTTAAACCTAACTTATATAAAATTCATATTTCATAAAAAGTCGCACTTATTTAAATCATTTCAAACCACCCTTAAAAGTATATTTTTTTTTATCTTTTTATTTTTTGTTTAATTATTTCCCTATTTTTTATATATCTTTTTATAAAAAATTAAAAAATATATATTTATTTAAATTATCTTAAACAATACCTTATATTGGGGTGTGTACTGTCGGGGAATTTTTAAAATGAAGTTTTCAAAATTTATTATTTAGTTTTTGGGTGTTTTCAAAACTTTCATTATTTTTTTTTGAAAATCTTGAAATAAGTTTGGAGACTTTGTCCCACATAGGAAAAAGAGAAAAACATGAAACACTTAATAAAATACTACATGGAATATTCCATTGAATATGGAATTATGAGATGGATGATAGTGTGCATGCACTCACACTGCAACAATGGTACTTTGCACTATCCGCACATGCACGTGTGGCGTGGGTTGTGTGGTGTTTGATGGTGCACTTAACACGGATGTTTTTTGCATTGGACAAGTTAGAGCAATGACGTGGCATGAATGACGTGGAATACAGTTAGCATCGCATGATAGTGATGTGGCATCCGTTGGTAATGAGTCAATCAACCAATCGAACGGTTGTATGTCCGATCTAGAGCGGTTTGATCATAGCCGTTGATTAGAGATGTGCACAATCGTACAGATGAGATGGCACCTAATCATGATCAGGTACGATCAGTCAAGGCATCTATTCAGTGTGAGAATGATCTACACCATAAATTGTCAATCCAACGACCAGATCTGATCAGATGCAATCAAGGGACATGACCATTTGATCAGATGCATCATGGCCTATAAATAGACTGCGAAATCAACCATTTCAATCCATCCAAAAATCTAGAAAGCATTCCTGTAATTCTCTCTCTCTCTCTTTCTCCCTCTTGATTTAGAGTTTTGAATCAAGAATTTCTTAAGCAAATTTCTACTTTTCTTACTAGTAATCAAATTCTACAAACTTGATTATTAGTGTCTTGATTTTTTTTGATTATATCAAGAGTATTCTGTTCTACTTTCGTCAGTGCAAACAGCGGTAGACTTGATCTTTAGATTAGGCTTCATCGTATCCTGGAGGCAAATTTGCTATAACTTTCTGCACACCTTTTGGTTGGTGCAAATCTTGTCTTTAGGAAAGCGACTAAATAACACGACTTGAAGCACCAAATTTCTATTCTACATAGACAAGATCATTTCTAAGTTTTGAAGACCCGAAGACCAGCAACTGAAGAATTCAAGACTGTTAATCATATTATTTAATTTTGATGATGTCTAAAATATTATTTGTAACAATTTGAATTTTTTAATATACATATGTATTTGACCCAAAATATTATCATTTTAAAAGAAAAATATATATATATATTTGTTAAATATTAGTTAAATAAAAATATTTTTGAAAACTTTACTATTCACTTTTTGAAAATTGAGGCTGATCACTATTCACTTTTTGACCAAATTAAAAATTGATTAATTATATTATTTTGACAAATTTGATATTGATGGGTTGTCTTGTGTTGACAAAATTAATATGGAGTGGTAGAATATATTTAGTTTAAAATCTCTACAACATATACAATATTTTAAAGATGACATACATTTTCAGATCCATCATAAATATCATTTAAAGAGATTTTTCTGTATACAAATATTTGATTAGAACATTATATATATATTGCATATAATATAAATAGAATACATCACATGCGCTATTAAATTTTTTACATTACATTGATTATATCATATTATAATCAAACAAGAAGAAAAAGATGGAGTTATATATATATATATATATATGTGTGTATATATATATATTATAAACTAGATGGAGAAAATTATTTGTTTGTTTGAAAGTTGTGAACTTTGTATTAAATTGTCTACAAAAATGGTGGCTCCATGTTTGAAAAAACAAAAAGAAAAAATCAGTCTTATTTTTTATCTTTTGCTGACTATTCAAAATCAAGGAGTGTGCTTATGTAAGCGATGACATCAAAAGTGTGCTTATGTAAGTCATGACATCAGAAGCGTGCTTATGTAAGCCATGACGTCAGCAAGGAGCGTCCAACGGGTATATTTTTGTGTATAAATAGAAGTGTTGGATGTGGAGAAAAATAGAAAGGGAAAGTGCATAAAATTAAAAATGGAAGTTCATTCTAGAAAACACTACACCTTAACAATCTATTTGGAATTAAATAAAAAAAGAAATTCAATGGAAAAAGAAATTGAATAAAAATGGAAGTTG